TTCTGGTTTCCATGGTGATGTGCAAGGTCACCGATGAGATTATTTAATAATTCCTCTGTAAAGGGACGCTCCTCTGTATTTGTAATGACAAGTGGGTTTAATAATGTTACGTGCGAAAACGGCTTTCACAGGTAATGGAAACATTTAGCACTTGAGAATATCTTGTGAGCTTTCACACCTGCTCTCGACAGTTCTGATACAGAAGACTCTCCCGGAGAAATTGCACCCTACTTTTCCAGGGCATCTTGTATATATTTACCACAGATGATGGTATGACACAGTGTGGAGAAAGGTCTGACGCCGCTTTCAGACATGAACGTGAAGGTTTTTCACAAATAAAGAATGAAACAGGAGATTGCCACAACAGATAAATATCTGGATGGTTCAGACGAGGGAGATGTAGGAGGCAGGAGGAGGTTTTTGCTTCCAGCACATGGACATCAGCATAGGCCTTTAGAAAAAGAATAGAAAGCCTCTATTTTCATTGTACAAGAGAAAGCAGCACAAACATTTTGTATATGAATATATTACTGTTTTTTTCCTGATACATCTCTTTGCCATTAGTCATGATCTGCAGAAGCGTGTGGTGGATAAAGAGCAGGAAAAGCAGAAGATCCTGGAGGACACAAAGGAACTCACTGAGAAAAATTCAAAGATTTCACAGGAGATGGAGAAAATGAACCAAGAGCTTAAAAATGTGGAGAAGTAAGGCTTTTTTTGTTCTTCCCTTTATTTACCAATTTAAAATGCTTACTGTCTAATTTNAGTAAAAGTTTAAAATCCGACAAAAGAAATCAATCAAACCAATAAATACTTAAAATTAATAGTGTGGTTACCTATTACTATTATCACTATATTTTTTATTGCACAGGAAGGATATTGCAAAAATGATGTGATTAAACTTTGAAATAACCATAACATCATCAAAAGCTCTTGTCTTTCCAAGATCTTTGTCAGCGTCTTCTACAAGTATCGCACCTGTTTGTCATCCTGAAATATTTATGTTCTTTTTTTAGTTTTACTGTTAGAATTGTCGGGTCACTGTGACATTTACCTGGGGGGCTCCTGAAAATGTCCAGAGCAGCTGACTGGGACGCTTGCGTTGTCACATACGGCCGCTTACGGATAATATCAGGAAAATGTCCAGAGTTTGGTGCATGTCTGAAAGCAGCTGAAGTCAACATGTTGACCATTATGCTCTCTTTATAGTTTCAGTATAAATACATCAATACTACACTATAACTTCTATAACTTCTTCGTCTGAAATCTTTTGAGCTCACGGTTACAGCTCCTCCTCTACAGAATCCACCATCTCTCCAACAGAGAACAAAAAGGAATGATTGCTGTTACTGTCAAAGTGTTTTATTTATACAGCGCTCCAACAGGCCAGCCAGATAATAGTGAGGCGGGGGGTAACTCTGTGGCATTATGTTGCATACAGCTGATTTATATAGGCTGCATACTGTCTCTCTGTGTCTCTTGCTCTCTCTCCCTCCCTCGCCCTCTCTGATGTGATTTTATAGTAGTGACATTGATCCCGGCCCACTTTGATCTTGCTCTTAGCTGTTGCTTCTTCCTCGCTCACCCCCCCCACCCGCTTTCTCCCTCCACTCCCTGGTGGCCCGACTCTGCAGCTTTTAACCCTGACTACCCCTCATCTCATCCTATAAATCCTCCCATCATTTTCCTCCCATCGTTCCAATGCTACATCCCCCTGGTGGATCCGTGGCGTTCGCTTGCTCTCCGTCAGCTGCTGCTCGGCTCCTCAAGAGTTGTGTTGCTGATGAAACGTCCCGCTCCATCTCTCGGCTCCGGCTGCCAGCAGCTTCAACTAAGGCAGACATCACTTATGAAGGGGGAAATGAGTGGTAATTCAACAGAATAGGGAAGGTAGGCGGAGAGAGAGGAGAGCAGAGGACAGCAGCACACCGTGACTTCTCATAAGCTGCTCCACCTGCTCTTTGTATTTTCAGGCAGCATTAACTCCAATATCATAAAAGGAATAAAAAAAAGCCTTGATAATATTTTTTTTTTCTCTATGGCAAATTAATTTTTTGATTAAAACATTTTGTGCATCCTCTTTTCTCTTGAAACAGGCTATAGCAGTATTGTGTTCAATGTGGTGTGTAAGTTTGCAGAAAGGAAAAGTTCACATTCCCAGCAGGCAGTTCAAACACTTTAGATTTAAGTCTTAATATTCATTGAGCTGTTTAAAAAAAAGTGTAATGTTCCTTTCAGTAGATTATATAATATATTTTGCCATTGGAAGTGATATTCATGCAGACATGCATGTGACCTGAAAAGGCACCCGTCCAATGAAACGCAATCCAGTCTCTGCAGTAAATGTTGCATTAATTAAAAACGATTTTTTGTTGAGACTAGCACATTAGTTTTTGGTAATATGTTGTGAATGTGGTGTTGAGTTGAAATGCATAATGTTTTTTGAAGGTATTATGTGTCGGAGAAATTCTACCAAGTCCTCTCTAGATTTTGTGATCCAGTAAAACAAATAAAAAACAACGAGCTCGAGAATTACAGAAAATGTGAATCAACACCTCTCTGACACATTTATAGTAGAAATAGGGATCAGTCTCAAATTTCTTCATCCATGTTGTCACTCATACTGAGAAATACACTCTGGATGATACAAAGCACCAGTTTGAATCTGTGCATCTCACTGTGGATCTGATCACTGGTGTTTTTCTCTTTATCCATTCAGTCTTAACTTAAGGTGAATAAATACATATGCATCATTTTAATTGTATAGTTTTGTTTATTTTATTTTTGGCTTCTCAGTAAAATGTAACGCATTAAAAACACAACTTGGTCAACAGACACAGACTGATATCATGACTTGTAGTAGAAACCCTTCTTTATACCCAGAGTCATAGTTTGTAGCCACTTCTGTCTTTTTGCACGAGGCCTGCGACATGTTTTTGTGGGCCAGGGGACGTCACATGACAGCGCTGTGGCCAAAATAACAGCCCAGCTGAGGGTTGGACTTGACGGCTTGTCTGAAACACAGATTTATTTTAGTTTCTGCCCCGTTTACCTGTAAAAACCTCTGTACAGAGTTAAATACAAAGCTGTAAATGCAATGAAGGAGCATCATTTGATGCAACTTCCTGGAAATACAAAATCATCGTCACGAAAGAGAACAGCAGAGCTCTGATTAAAAATAATACTTAACCTCACATCTGATTTTCTGATTCTCCAAAGCCCAGAATCTTCAGTATGTTGTGGTCTAAGATCGATCCAGGATTCTGATTCCACTTTTACAAGAGAGTGGATTTACTGTTTGACTCACATTTTTAAATACTCATTCTTTTGTTGTGTTTCCTGTTTGTTTCTGAGTTTGAATTTTTCTATCAGAGACGCACCTTGTCAATATGTCACGCTGTCAGATATAAAAGCCTGACAGAAAAAGTGACAGGCTTTGATGTCGCACACACAAATGCTTGTTTGCAGACACAAACCAAAGCAGGTGCACACATACACATACAATAGACGCATGCACAGTGGGAATCCTGGAGCCAGCTTTTATCTTTGAGAAGTCATTTGCTTTCAGATTACTCAAGAGTTTCCCTCCCCTTCATTTTTCTCTTTCTTTTCCCCATTATCCCTTCATCTTGCAGAACGTGCTTTTCTTAGGTAGCGTAAAACTCCAACCGCCTTGTTTTCCCCTGTCTGCTCCGTTCTCGCTCTCACTGCTCCTCTACTCTATTTGCATTCACGGCTCCCAAGTGGAATTCATTCCTCGTTTTCTTTCACTCTCAGTCTCTCTTTCTCTCTCTCTCTATTGCATTCACTATAAACATTGTTTCTTCGTTGCATTTTACAATTGTTTTTCCACCACCAAGACCGCGAGAAGTAAATCTGCTCTGCAGGCGAGTAAATGATGCAATGAGAGGAGAGGAGGAGAGATGAGGAGAGGAGAGAGAATAAAGGATGTTGAACAATTAATCTTGCGTTCATGTTGCTCTGAAATAAAGTGAGCAGAGAAATGGAGAGCCGGGAGAAAAAAAAAGAAAGGATTTGAAGAGAGTGGTGAGAAATGATGGAGAGAGGGAGACATTGGGAGCAGTGTTTCGATCTTCATTTAATAATTGAATAATAATCTCCCTGGAGACATGACCTAGAACTGGCAAAGAGGGAGAGAGGGAGCGTCAGGCTGAGGGCGACACACTGCTGCCCCCTTGTGTTTATTTGGTGTCACCACTAGAACATTTGAGTGAATGTGTGTGTGAGTGTGCGCACGTGCTCATCGATGTGTGTATGATTTACAACTGCAACCTGTCTCTGTCACACAGATATGGGCCTGTGTCCGTGATGGGGAGAAAAAGAGGGTTTTTGGATGTCAGGAAAGCATCTATTTCACTTTGTCACACAAACTACACACACACACACACATATACAAACACACACGAGTACCAGCAGACACCGAATCAGACCTTGTCAGGCCGAGTCTTTTTTAGGGCTGACACTGATATATGAGCTTTGGCGGAGGGAGAAACGTGGCCAGGACGTTGACGGCTGACGTGAGCGCAACGTTGCACTCAGGTTGATGTACGAGCACGGGGGTTAGGGGACAATGCTACACTGATACCAGGCGAAGGAGCTGTGGCCCTGGGGCCTTGAGCCCGTACTGAAGAGTCAGCTCCACATTCTCTGCATGCAGCAGCCCTGCAGCCATAAATACACACACACACTCACCTGCTTTATTAATAACTTGATAAAACGTGAACAAATATCTGTTTGACCCTGGGTGCACATTCAAGCAGAATCCCAAACACAATGTTGAGTAGAGTGTGTGTGTGTGTTAGAAATATTAGCTCTACAAATTAACTGGAAATGTGTGAAATACTATCAAACAACTGAAGTTTGTAATGATGCTGCTTTTAAATACATTCTAATAAGGAAAAGCATTTTATTTAATTTCTGACGTATATCCCTCTTCTATGTAGTGATATTAATTCCAGCCGTGTTTTGTGTGTTTTCAGTTTGCGCAGGGAGGGATACACAATGCAGGTGAACGTCAACGACTACCTGGACATCTACTGCCCTCATTATAACGACAGCCAGCGCATGGTTGGCACCGGAGAGCAGTACGTCCTCTACATGGTCAGTTACCGTGGCTACAGGAACTGCGACCCCCAGCTGGGCTTCAAGAGGTGGGAGTGTAACCGGCCTCACGCCCCCCACGCCCCCATCAAGTTTTCGGAGAAGTTCCAGCGCTACAGCGCCTTCTCGCTGGGCTACGAGTTCCATGTTGGGCAGGAGTACTATTACATCTGTGAGTGGAATCAAACCAACAGCTAATATCATGTCAATACATATTTATTGTTGTACATTGTACTGCATGTCCCCAGAACATAAATGGAAAATAATGATACAATTCTTGATCTTGAAGGAGGATTTTGACACTAGAGCTGTGATCTTCTGTGTGTTAAAAAGTTTCTTTTATTTATTGTTAAACGATAAACCACAGTTTATCGTCAGGTAATTTCTGGATAACAAATTGCTGCTTCACGTCTAATCAAATCACCCTGCAGTCAGACGGGCTCATCCGTTTTGTTGATTGCTAATCAAATTAACTCACAACGCCATGTGCCAGTATGACACTGTATAAAAAATTTACTTTGAGCTTCTCATAAAGCAACTGAAAAACTAACCTTTCAGGCTTAAGATAAATGTCTGCTGCATTAAATGAGTGTATAATGAGTGATATACTCATTTAACCTGCATCGCTTGATGGTAACTGTCTCCATCACAATCAGAGAGGACTGCAGAGAGCTCACTGCAAAGACAGACTTTCATATTGAATAAACCTTTTTTTTTTTCTTCATAATGTTATGAGAATAAAGGGGCAAAACAACATTTATTTTTAGGGAATAAGTAGCAAAGACATCTTGAGTTCCACTCCTTCCAGACCCCAAATCCTGAGAAACTATGAAACCCCTTTGAATTTCATGTAGATGTAACGATACCCGCGACCAAAAAACCAAACCACAAAACATTACTCTCTCCACAAAAGAGGCAATTTCCTCGAGTCTGTGTTTCTTTCTTCAGAGCAGCCACAGTTTCTTGCACAATCCTTTCAAAGTCGTGATACCTCCATGAGTCCTTATGATAACATGGTGCTGATTGGCCAAAAGATTACATCATTTGTTATTTGTAAAAAACATACTCAAGTATAATGTAACGAGATGTTCCACATTCCTCATTTTAAAACGGGCAACAGGCTGATCGTCTGATATTACCTGTGTAAGATGACGCAGACTCTATTTACTGCTGTATTCCTTTAAGTGGCCTTAATACTCCGTTCACAGGCTGATAATGTCAATTACAATGCCAACTTTATTTAAATAGCACATTTAAAACAACTTGGTTGACCAGAGTGCCTTACAAAGTAAAAGGTAAACAATAACACAGCAATCCGCAATATATATATATATATATATAATATATTAAAATACTAATAATAAAATGTGGTTTTAATAGAAGAGATGTGTTTTAAACAATGATTTGAAGAACATTAATATAACATAAAAAAGAAAAATAAATTCCTGCTCAGTATTAAGTTTTCATCAAGAATCAGGATATGCTTTGTTCAGCATGATGTATAATCTAAGATTCATCATATAAGTAAATAGATTGTCTCACCAGGAAATCTGAGAATATGTGCGTCTGCGTTCTGCTGCGTGTTCAACATCTGCTCACGAGAACCACCCCACTGAACAAACTGTTCACTCTACAACATCTGTGTTGTAGAGTCCAGTGTCCCTGAGGGAGAGACATACGAGTGTCATCTGAGCAGCTTTAACCCTTTGCTGCGCTCTCACAGATTCACAACCTGCATTCTGTGTTTAAAACTATCTCCGATTTTAGGGCAGTTAAAACACTTGATATTAAAACGGTCACAGCTGTCGGTGAACGCAAACGGTCACCATGGTCACAGGCGGTGTTGCAGGTAGGACAGAGGGGAAAGTGAGCAAATGAATACAGCAGGAGGTGTTTCAATTGTGCGTTTTGCTTCACAGCCACGCCCACCCATCACCACGGCCGCAGCTGCCTGAGACTACGAGTGTACGTCTGCTGCTCCACGGGTACGTCTCTCACTTTGTGTTTGTGTGTGTGTGTGTGTGTGTGTGTTTGAGTGAGAGAGAGACCTGTAATGCGACGCTTCCACCCATCTGGGTACAGTTGCTCTAACCATTGCCCTCCCCATCTGTTAGGCACCGGGGCTCCTACGAACCCACACACACTCACAACCACACACACACACACACACACACCGGCTGCATACAGATGCATATACAATCTAAAAACAGTCTAAAAGAGGCAGCGCTATTAATACTCCTGCTGAGATTCCCCTGCAGCATTTTCCCTCACACAACAGAACCTCCCTCGCTCCTTCGTTCTCTCTCACTCCTTCTGTAGCAGCTCCAGCTCTGTAGGCCCTCGTCCCTCCTCTCCTCCCCTCCCTCCCTTGCTCCCTTGCTCCCTGTCAGAATCCATTTATTCCTGTGTGCGGTCAGTGGGTGGCTATGTATATGTAGTGTTAACCTCTCGCTCGCACTCCCGCCATCCTTCAATCTCTCGGCCCTCTCACACTCACACACACATACACACACACGCTTTGATCCCTGGCCTGTCCGGTCCTTTTAACTTCCACAGCCCTGTAGTGTTAACCTCTCCTCCCTCTTTCACCCCCCACCCCTCCATCTCCGTTGCTCTCTGTCCATTTTCACACACTGCCTCTGTTCAGTTTGATCTGCCTCCCCTCACCTTCCCTCTTGCCCTCTTCCCCCCTTCTCTCTCACTTGCTTACTCGTTTATTCTCCCTCACTCTTTCTCTCGGAGCTGCTGGTGATGTTATGGCCTGTCAGTCTGTCTGCTCTGGGGGATTTAAAAAAAAAATTTTTTTGAACCCCACACCCTTGCCTCGCCGCACTTTTGCACGTTTCTCTCAAGATGTCAAGTTGGATGTAATTAAAATCCTTTGGGTTGGAGCAATGGTTTTAGCCTCTTGCTCCCTCAGCCTCCCTCCTTTTCTGTCTCACTCAGTTATTTCTCTCTCTCTCTTTCAGCCTCTGACGTGGACGATGAGCCAGAGCCCACAGAACCAGACTACACACTTAGACCAGGCCTAAAAATCAGTGATATTGGTGAGTCATACGCACACTCACCTTAACTTATGCACACATGAGTAAGGTGAGTGAGTGTGAATCTGTCCGGCTCGTCTGGATTTCACAAAAACAAACCCAGACTTGTGTTTGTCATTCAGATCATCCGTCTTAAAGGGTAGAAATCGAATGATTCACTATTTTTAAGCTGACCCATTGAAATAATGTCTTTGGCACACAGCCCCAAAGCCCATTAGTTCCCTCTGAAGATGAAGTAAAACTTTCAAATCTGCAGCATAATGTTTCTTTTTTTAAATCAAACATTAAAAAAAAGAGCTAATTAATTTGTTGAGGGACTGTTTCAGCAGGGGATTAATCCACATTTGGTTTTGAGCCTCTGTTCCCATATTCATATTAAAGGGAAATGTCACCCAATGCCCATGGAACATTGCATTTTTTAGACAACATCACATCATTGGTCATTCATTAATAATTTGATGGCTCCAGAATAACAATTATCACACAGAACATGAAAGATAAATAATAATCTTTAACCAATCATCAAATCTTTATCATGATCACTGTCCTTTACTGTCTTTCTTTGATTTATGATTTTATTAAGTTTTCTGCTAGTCTCTGCACAGCCTCCTCTCAGGCTGCAGGCAGCTCCGACCATCATTGACAATCATATAGTCAGGATAGCCTGTAGCCTGACAGGCAGGAGCAATTTTTTTTCCTCCACAAAGGAGGTTTTGTTTTCACCCCAACAACTGAACAGATTTCCAGGAATCTTGGTGGAAGGATGTGGTTTGGGTCGGGGAAAAATAAATTAAAATCTGGTTTGGATCCTGATTTTTCAATTTCCTTCACGTTGGGTTTTGTTTTTCGACATTTTCGCTGATTTCTCAGGGAAATAATAATTTATGGATCTTTATGAAATAAATCAGGCACATTTAGGGAACTGGTATGTACGAGTGTGTGTAATGTGGTGCAGCTTGATTAAATTGAAGGGGACTGTTGGGCCGTGTTGGGATCACTTGTACTTAACTTCTAGATCTTGGTTAGTGTTTGTTGTTTGTCCTTATGTTGCTGTCGTCCGGATTACACAACTGCTGCTTTCATGAGGATAATCATACTGAATCTGTTCTGCCTGCAGCTTTATGTGATTTGGCAGCGATTTGAGGGAGAAACAGAACAGTAAATCAATAAGTGACAGACTTCAATGATCCTTTAGATGATCATGTGGTTGATTCTCAGTGTTATGACAACGTAGTGCAGCAGCAGAAATAAACATGTAGGCCTACAGTTAACTTGGCCTAGCTACCCATTGCACAACCGGACATGTGGGTATCTGGGTATCAATCACCATTGTGTTCGAGGTTACACGCTATATTCCAAGACTGTCAGAAAAATTTGCTGCAGTGTTGTTGTTGAAACATGTGCACACGCACTCAGGTGTGCTCTCCTGTGCAGTAAATCAGTCTGTTCTCATAACTGTCATAAGGAAACTCATCACTAGCTGCAGCTAATGGCTGCAGGTCGTATGAGTTTGTTGAGTTACCTCCCCCTCACTCTTTTTTTTTCTCTCTTCCTTCCATCGTTCTTTCATCTCGTTTCTCTCTCACTCCATCTCCTTTCTCCATGCCCTCCTCATCCTCCTCCCTTTAATTCCCATCCTCCTTTTTTCCTCCCAGAGCACAAGTAGGAACGCAGTGGAGAGGAAAGCCACTAAAACTCAGTTTATTCACCTTTTGATGTGTGAAATTGAGTTTTTGCCACTTTTAACACGTCTTTTTTCAAAATAATATAAATGTTCAGGTCCTGTAATTTTGCATCAGTGCTATCACAGTGATGCAAACTGTTCTTAAAAACAGAAATGATTTAATTTCAAAATAACATGGTGTTTGAATGTTGATTGATGATGATTTTTTTTTTTCCAATACTGTTATAACATATATATATATAAAGTAGTTTCCTATACTTTTGTTTGCCACTATATCACTGAGTGATGTATATTGTATCATCATGTATCATCTGTATACTCACCACTTACTCTGTCCTTCCTCCACAGCAAATACTTGTAAACACTCAGTAAAAGCAAAGGCTGCTCATTATGGCAACATAAAAGATACAGTTGAACTAATTACAAGGTACACAAAAAGCAAAGATAATTTCCACAGAAGAATAGTTGTATTTAATGCACTCCAACAGATAAGGAGAACAGAGTGCATGGAAATACTGTTAATATTTAGTGAGCGACTGACAATAGCCGAGGACAAATCACCGCAGCTCCTGTGGGTCATTTTCACCTGTAGTGCTGTGGTGCCAATTAAATTAATTGGCGAACCCGAGTGGTGCGGGAGGAAGTGAGGAAATCAGCAGGGAGCTGTGAAATGAACTGAAAACAAAGAAGCGGTTTGCTATTCCCCTCCCTCGTTCTCAGTCCTCCCAACCGCCGATTAGACTCATCGCATCATAGTTTTAATTACTGTTATTCAGAATTCACATCAGCACGTTTGCACGACCACAAGACAACGTACAAAACAGCTCTGTTCAAATCTGCCTGATTACCACGTCTGAAAGTGTTTAACTAATCCCAGTGTTGCAGAGTCATATTGTACACCTCCTCTCTCTCTCTCTCTCTCTCTCTCTCTCTCTCTCATTCTCTCCCCTCCACTGCTCACACTTTATTTCCTGGCCGCTGCCCCCTTCAATCAGTGTCTCCAGCTCAACAGTGGTTCCCTCCTGAATACGGCCTCTAGTATTAGATTTCATTTAGATCTCATTTACAACATGGAATGGCGCTAGCAGCTCCCCGTGCAGCCATGTGATTACTGATGGCTTTTCGGTGGAAGGATGCTCATTTACCAGCACCGTTGGCTCAGGTTACTGCATCTGATGGTCAGGTCTGGCCATTAGTGGAGAAATCAGAAGCTTTTCCTTCAATGGGGTTTATTGTAGAAATAACCACTCCTTTAAGCGATCGTGTGTTTTGGCAGCACTTTGCCAGCGGCATCAGGTTGAATATCAGTTGGAGAACACACACAAGATCTCTGTTGTCTATTTAATCTGTAGTAACAGCTGCATTGCATGTGTATTTATATATTTTATTCATTATGTATAAAATACCCCATCTTAAGGCCTGTGCTGTTAAATGTAAAACTTTATAACTAAGCGGTGTATTTTCTGCAGTATTATGACAACACAGATTTCATACATATCAATGTGCTAATTTAATACCACCTGCTAAATGAGGCTATTAAATCACTGTTAAAGGAAGATTTATACCTGACAGTGCTAATTGCTTTTTATATATTTCTGTATTGCTCATAGATAAATCTCTCTTAAATGAGTTTTTGTCCTCATGCTTATTAGTGATGTCACAATGGATCTCTTGGCCCCATATATCATAATAGAAAAATGTGACAGATTTTCATTACAAGGCTAAAAGAATGGATCACAGAATCAACTTAATCTTATCAATTATATCCTTCAGTCTATTGCATCTATCTGCTTACTCCCACAGGCTGTAATTAAAATTACTTACACACATGCTGCACTGTTTAAGCTGATCTCTGGGAATGAAATGTGCAGATTCTCTTAGAAATCAAGTCAGAAATGTGAAACCAGCTCATAATTAATTGCCCTTGGTTGCAACCAATGCTTGTCCAACCACGTGCAGACTATTGCTCGTTATCATAGACTGTATAACAAGAAGGACAACACATCTCCACCCCCTCTGATTATTCAGAAATGAAAAATCCAGAAATGAAATATCCAGGATGCGAACACCACCATCTTCTAAAGTTTGTGCATTAGAAATCAGGGATGGAGCTGCAGTCGCGATGTCCCGTCAATAACGGTGTTTGACCAATCGTGAATCAGTCGCAGCTGTCAATCAACATGTTTCACTCTGTTTTCATTGCAACAAATTACAAATTAAAACCAAACATCCCGGAATGAAAGTGAAAATTGAAAGTTTGAACAAAGATCAGTGTGATAAGAATTACCTAAAATGACAGAAACCAACAAAAAAAACTTTTTTTAGTTTTGCCCATGTCCCATCTACTAACATAGAGGAGTTGGGGTTTGTGACCTGTACTGCAGCCAGTCACTAGGAGGAGATGGGGACGTTGTAGTACTTTTGGGGGCGCCGTCATGCCTTTATATACATTCTGTGATCTTTATCTTACCAAGGCACTGCACTGATTTAAATGCTGAAGTCAATTTACTGGGCACAAAGGGAACTACTCAGCCCTGTGGCTCTGCCCTGTTATTGAAAGACATGGTATCAATCACTCAGGGAACATCTAATGAAAGAAGCAAACATATGAGTCTTCTAATTTTAGTCTGTGTCTCTGTATGTTCACTGGAATGACCTTTCAGTCAGGACATTCTAATCTGGGAAAACCACAATTGATAAAGTCGAATCAGCACTTGTCTGACCGAGTGTCAACAACAATTAAAGATAATTATCTTCATTAAGTGTCTAACAGGTGAACCAGTTCACATAAAATATAGTATCTTGGATATTAGTGACTTATATTCTATATGTGAGATATTCAATTAAAATTATAATATTTTAACTCAGACAGAAACCACTAAAGTGGCCTAAACATACACACACACACACACACACACTAATACACTTATGATTTATGCCCACCACATACATGAGCAGAGTGTGTATATATATGTTAATGTGCTTGCCCCTTATGTTCAGTGCAACTACAGTACAGTACACTGCACACAGACAGAATCTTTCATAGACATAAATAGAACATAAATCAGATTTTTATTTTTATCGTTTTTATCAACATGACATTCAGATTCATTGATGCCTCTAAGTGTCTGAACCTAATTATCAGGTGGATGCAGCCTGTGTTTGTGCTCCAAAATGTGTTATACACACAAACACACATAAACACTGGCAAACACACACACACACGTACATACACGCATCAGATAATCACAGTATGCGTTACATCCTTGTTCACACTAATAATTATGTGTATCTGTGACAGTTTAGAAAGAGACGGGGGCAGCCTGTGTCGGTGTGCATGTGTGTAATGAGACATTAAGTAGAGCCACACTTCAGACCCAGTTGCGTGAGATTCTCCGCTGTCGGCTGTTTGTGTCTTCAACACCACATTCCTCGGTCTGTCAGTGACGGAGTCACAGGGCGTCCTGACCCCTCGGCTGCACGCTCGGTTACAGAGCGGTCAAAGCATTTAACCTGAGCACCGCCGCTGCGTAGACCTCATTAAATCGGCCGGCAGAGCATACCAGAGGCGGCCATCTCCAAAACCAGGTGTCAGCCAGTCATTACTCTGCTGTCTGACCCACAGAGCAGCTGGAAACACTGTGGCCCTGTACATGTTGCTGAGTGGAAACACTGAGAACATCCTTGGATGCCATCAGTTCCTAATCAGCTTCAGCTGACTTCTGTACAGACAGAAAATTGCGCCTCTGTCTAGGCTTCAGTCTCATTACTCAGGTGACTACAGAGGGTGCGTCTGGCCGCACGCGTCTCTCATGAGTGCAGGCATGCAGCGAACTGTCTGCTGGGTTGTGTTTTGGACTAGACATCAATGCCCTGTGTGTGTAACCCGTGACAGAATACCACAAACTATTTTAGGACACAACCAGGTGCACATGCAGCTCGATTGGGAGGAGATGGGGGGGGCTTACAGTATATACAGCGTGTGTGTGTAAAAGTGCAGCTGTGTGTGTGTGTGTGTGTGTGTGTGAGTGTGAGTGAGAGACGGGGAATGTGTCACTTTATTAGAACAATGTGAGCTCTCTGATAACAGCTGCAGTCTGCTGTGGCACTGCTGGTGTGTTGTCTTTGGAGCAGACTAACCACATTTCAGTGGGAGTGAGACTGTCTGTGCTGCCTTTTTTTCTGTCAGCCTGTTTCACTCAACCACATTCTGTTATGTTTTAAAAGTGACCATGATGTGTAACCAGATTACAGCCCAATCAGTAGCTCAGATAAACTTCTCTTTTAAATTGAAAGGTATAATAAACATGTAGAGAAATCCTCAGGTGCCTCTGTGATGAATAAAGACTAAGACATCGATCTCTCTTGTTGTTTTCTCTCTCTCTCTGTATTTCCAGATGAGTTTAACCCTTTCGTTCCCAAGCTGGAGAAGAGCGTCAGCGGAAGCAGTCCGTCCAGGGATCGCCTTCTCCTCACGGTGACGATGCTCCTCCTGGCCGTCCTCTTCATCTCCTAGCAACGGCCATCCCATCAGCGTCACCATGCCAACTAGCCTTGGGAGGCTGTACAGTACCAGTGGGTGGGAGAAGAGGGGGGGTCAGGAGAGGAGAGTTAAGATACTTCAAATAGAACAGAAGGCAAAGAGGAGGGAGACTTTGAATGAAAGTTTTCAAGCATCGGAGTGTGATTGTGTGTTTGTACGTGTGTGTGTTTGTGCAGCTGTGTGTTTGATGGAGTGTGGCTTTGGTGGAGTTGAAAGACCTTTGGATGCTCTGTGTCACAGACTGAACTGTTTGTTGCATTGAAGTCAGCCTGTGCACACAGATGCAGGTTTGGTAGACTGTGTGTGTGTGTGTGTGTGTGTGTGTGTGT